GTCATAGGCAAAGAACATGATTTTGCCTCCTTTCTCCTCGAATTACTGATAATCCTGTTTAAAAACCTGCCTGTTTAACAAATATTTGGACATATGACCAAAGTGTGCTGTTTGAACTCACAACCTGTGCGAGGACCTGTCTTTTTCTTTCTTTCTTTTTTGTACAATTCTGCACATCGTGTTTATAGAGCCTTCATTTATTTTGTACCCTGCACCTTGCTTGCACAGTACTATAATTTTCACTGATTATATTGACAAAGTACTGTAGTTTTATGTGCTGTTATACATTACAGTATTGCAAGTAACAGTTATGCAAATAAAACCAAAATCATTGTATATTTTCCTTTGACCATTTCTTTGTTCTGAATACTATAATGTACATACTAATATAATTCCTTATTTGACTACCATTCAGTTTAATGGCCTAGTTGCAGGATCAGAATTCAATCATTAAGTGAGGAATGTCTGTATCTGACATTGTTGAATGTAAAAAGGGGGAAAAGAAAATATATCAATGAAAATAAGAAGGACAAGCGGTATTTCAGTGATGATCCACAAAGTTATTGATTCTGGAACTCATAATGTATCTGGCAGGCTACTGATAAAACGGTGAAGTGATATACACAAAAAGGAATTCCAGAGTGCTACTGTTGGGAATTAGGATTTTCAGACAAGCCTAGGGGTCAGCAGATACTTGCAAAGAGAAAGTAGAAAGATGGAGCATCCATGGTTCCAGGTAGCTTCATGATGTCTGTTGATGTCTGTCCTCCTGCTGGCCTAGTGATGAGAAACCTAGAATTGCTTTCCAAGGAAATAATGTAAAATTCTACACTTTTTGTAAAAAAAAAAAAAAAAATTTAAAGTATGGTCTGAGAGAAAAGTTGCTTTTAATATGGACAAATATTGTGAACCAATAGTAGAATCCATGTTTTTCTAAAATTTGAGAGAGGGTGGAGGCAAAAAAAGAGGAAGCAGAGGCAGGATGGGATGGCAAATGGAGCATCACAGAGGAGAAAGAGTCTATGTCAAAACCAGGCAAGCAGAAGGTAGCAAGCAGCAAGTCCCAGTGACAAGCTTCTTTCTGTCCCTTGCATTGTATCCAGGCTTACACCCGTAATCCTAGCACCCATTACACTATGACTCAATCCCAGGGTCGCACACTCTAGATCCAGCCACCTCTGAAAATCCCCACCTATGTATGAGGCTTTAGAGAGACATCTACCTGCAAGCCAGAACTGTGTGCGATAAACAAGAGGCTCCTGGAAGTGACTCAGATGTGCCTGGGATCCAAGGCTGAAGACTCATGGCACAAGCAGCTCTCGGTTGTTTATCTTCTCAGAGTCTGCGAACAAATGAGTAGGTGGAAGCAGCTCCTGGGTGTGCTGGCAAAAATGCTGCCAAGTCGAAGCTCCTTCTGTGTTTGGAGAGGAAGCAATGGGACGAAGGGCTCATGTACCACAAGTCTGTCCTACGAAGCTAGACTCCGTCAAACTGTCCTGATCCCACCAGCTATCTGGGAATGTCTCAAAATAGCTGTTTCCGTGCTAGGCAAGGGCAGAGGACCTTTGGGCCAGTCCTGCTGGATCACTTCCCCTCTTTTGAACTCCTATGTCTATGTTTTTTTCATTGTACAATAGGTCGCAGAGAACATTAAAGAAGAAATTAAATAGTTTTTATGATTAAATAATACCAATATCACACACTGAAAATTATGTGACACAATGAAAGCAGTTGTGTGGGGGAAGTTTGTAGCACTGAATTCTCACATCAGACAAATGGAGTAGGTCAAAGAAACAACATAATATTGAACTCAAGTTTCTAGAAAAAAAAGAATACGTTAAACCCAAAGTTCATACAAAGACGGAAAGTATAAAGATCAGAGCAGAAGTTAATGCAATTGACATTAAGTACAAAATACAAAAAAATCAATGAAGAGTTGTCTCTTGAAAGATTAGATAATGTAGACAGATCCATAGCCAACCTTATAAATGCAAGGGAAGAAAAGACCCAAATCCACGCAACAAGGAATGAAAAGGGCAAAATCACAGCAAATCTTTCAGAAACCCAGGTCATCAGTACCTACTTTGAGAATCTGCACTTCAAGAAGGTGGAAAACACAGAAGAAATGGGCAGATTCCTAGATATATATGAGCTATCAAAGTTCATATATCAAGAAGATATGAAAATTATATAAATAACCCAATATCAGTCAATGAAATTGAGGAAGTAATTTTTTAAAAAACTGCCAACAAAGAAGAGCCCAGGAATTTATGGATTATTACTGAATTTTACAAGTACTTTAGAGAAGTTCTAATGTCATTACTTCTCAAATTCTTTAATGAGATTGAAAAAGAAGCAGTACTCCCAAAGAGATTCCTGGGAGCAAGCATCACCCTGATACCAAAACCAGAGAAGTATCCAACCCAAAAAATAGAACTACAAACCAATCTTTTTAATGAACATAGAGGCAAACATTCTCAAAGATACAAGCAAAGAGAATTCAGTAAATCATCATAAAGATTTTATACCATGACCAAGTAGTATTCATAACAGGAAGGCAGGAATGGTTCAATATATACAAATCCATAAATGTAATATAACACATTAACCACATGAACATCTTATTATAGGCAGCTAAGTTAGATATAAATTAATATATAGTCAGAGAGAGCCTGGACTCTCAAAGTCAGTGAAAAATAAAGATATCAGAATTGTGGCTGGAGGTGCATCTGAAGAAGGCAAGGCCTCCAGACGAAGTCACAATGGCCAGACTTGCATAATTCCCTAAGGGATAAGCAGAATTTGAGACTATTCTTCAACTAATATCACACAGTCCATTAAGGACATATATGCATCAGACGTCTGGGTGGATGATCATAACACCTGGACACCTCCCTTCCTAAGAATGTTTTAGAAGTCATACATAAGCCAAGGTTAATATTAGCCATGTACCCTTGTTATATGCCCTACCTTTCCTATTCTATCAATATTACGTAGGCAGCTATACTTGTAATATTATTAGCTGATTATAATTTGACCCACATTTTACTCTCATGGTGAATTTGCTGTATAAATGACCACTGAAAATGAGCTTCAGTGACAATCCACTCAGGATCCCCCTGTCTCTTAGGAGCTATCTTTCAATAAACATCTCCCAGTCTTAATTTCCATTGTCCTTTGGCATTTACTCTTCTATTTCAGGGAACATGATCTCAGCACAACTGACATCTAGTTATGCTACTCCTATACAATTTCAATAGACACAGAAAAATAATTTGACAAAGTTCAGCACTTTTTTAGGGTTAAAAAGAACCCTAAAGATCATTGGAATAGAAGGACTTTATCTAAATCTGATAAAAGCCATATATGACAAACCAACAGCCAACATCATACTAAATGGTCAAAAACTGAAAGCTTTCACTCTAAAAAAATCAGGAACAAGACAAGGATGTCCACTATAACAACTTCTGTTGAATATAGTTCTGGAAACATAAGTAAGAGCAGTTATACAAGAGAAAGAAACAAAAGGAATATGGATAGGAGAGGAACAAGTTAAATTATCATTATTTGCTGATGGCATGATACTCCTATATATAGAAGACTCCAAAAACCCCACCAAAAGACTCCTTGAATTAATATGACCAAAGTCTCAAAACATATCCAACTTATATCTTGACAATATGATTTTTAGGAATATAATATTGCTCCAAAATTTAAGAATGTGAGCAGATATCAGGGCTATTCATAACCATGACTATATTACATAAACAATTTTACCCACATCCTTTAAATAGATTCAAATATAGAAGCACAGCTATACCACAGAATACTATGCACATCAAATGGAAGACATGGAAAGATAACTATCTTAAGAAAAGTTTATATTAAGGGTAGAAAGAAACTACACAAGTTACAATTAACTTCTGCTATAATGCTTACAAATTTATATTTGCACACATAGAATCACAAGGAGGATGTCTGAGGGTATACAATGAATCTGAGGTGTATCATGGCTCCCAAGAATTATTTGGCATGGAGGTTCCTATGGAGATTGGGGGAGGGCTTCAAAGGGAAAATGACAGAAGATAATGATCCAGCATATTTCAGTGATTTGCCTCCCAGTAGCAGTCCAGAAGCTCATTGCTGAGCCCCTGAACTTGTACCTGATTCTTATGGAAAGATGTACTGAAGAAGCTGTTTCCATGCGAAGCTATGTCAGATGTGGGGCACGGAAGGCCACTGTGTGATAGGTGATGGAGATGCTACCCTAGGTGCCTGTGATGGGCCGCTACAGGGTCACCCTGTGGAATAATAGGGCTCACTCCTGACTCACTTTATGTGCAGAGGGACCTGGGAGCTAGCATCCCCTCGAGAGCCCGGCAGTGGTGGTGGGAAGTGCTCAAAGACTGTCACAGAATGGAAAAGCACATTGAGGGCTGGTCATTAATCAATGAGATGCTTACAAACAATAGACACAGACTTGAAGTGAGACAAAACATTCTCAACCCCAAACTCTGCACAGCCAAAGCACTGGAACTGTCAGCAAAAACATTCACAAACCTCACCAGGGCACAAGTTTCACTTTGCCATTCAAGCCACTGTGCCAGTTTGGCCACATGGAATTTTTTTTTTTTTTTTTTTTTTTGTGTTGTTCCAGGGATTGAAAGC